TAAATCAGTCTTGTTTCTGACTTCATGCGTGTTATTTGTTTACCTTTACTCTTTTTTTTAAGTGTTTAAAGCCCGCAACGTTTAACTTATATATATATATTCCATCGTTACTAACTATATATGTATATATTCGTTTGCAATAATATATGAGTATATTTCATTGTTATAATTTATATTCGTTTGCAATAATAAATATTTTCGTCGTTACAATTTATATTTATATTTACTTGAGGTAGACAAGATGGGACCAGTTGACACATGATATCGTAGAATGTCACAATATATGTCTATATTTATGTCGTTACACTTTATATTTACTTGAGGTAGACAAGATGGGACCAGTTCAGACAAGTTGAAACTTGTCGAACTTGAAAATGAAAAAAATACAAGGAATTAGGATTAGGGATTAGCCGTCCTCACCCCCCGGCCCGGGAAAATCCCGTATAGCCTAAAAGGCGAGGTAGGGAAGAACAAAAAAAGAAAAATGGTGGGATGTCTGGTACGTTGCCATAACAACCTGGCACGGCGTTTAGGTGGCCATAATAACCTGGCCAGTAGGTAGGTGAGTTCGGGGGAGCGAGATTAAAATGTTGGGAGTTGAGTGCAGACAGCAGTGTTCGACCTCGAGAATTCGTAGTTCTTGAACCCCATTGCTGATGCTTGGCGTTTAAGTCTGCACCCAGGATGAAATGGTGTCCTAAGGAATTGAGGAAGGAACTAAATTGGATATTAGAGGTGGATTGGTTGGGAGGGCAATACGCTGATGCTAGGGTAATAGGAAACGAGAAGGTTTTGATTATGATAGCAGTGGATTGTAGGAAATCGTGAGTAGGTAATGGGAGTAGGTGGTGAGAGAGGGATTGGTGTACAATGACTGCAGTGCCGGCATGAGCTCTACCGTGTGGATGGTCAGTACAATATGTTGAGTACTGAGGTATATTTAAAATTTGTTTTTTGGTCAGTCGAGTTTCTTTTATAAGGGCTACATCGACGTTCTTATCTCGCAATAAAGCTGTTAGTTCGTCAGTGTGGTTTCTAACACCATTCGCATTCCAAAGGAGAATGGATAGGGGTTTGATGGAATTCATTTAAGGGTTTTTTAAAGGAGGGATGAGGTGAGATACGAGATTTGTAAGGAGAGATATCAGTGGGGTCACGAGGGATTTGAATTCGGTGAGAAAATATGCCAACAAACTGGTAAGATCAGTGGCTTGTGATGGAGGAGGAATATAAGGAATGTGATGTTGATGAGGTTGTTGAGAGTTTTGTACATTAGGAGGGATAGGGTGTTGGAGTTGGGATTGGGATTCCTGTTGCGGCAGGGCCTCACATTTAGCAGTCAGGACTCTACCCCCTAGTAACTGAGAATAAGATACTCTAGAGTCTACTATTTTAGCTGGCCCTCTTCTGGCTTTAGAAGTTTCTTCTGGGTTCCGGGGTTTACGAAATTTATTTTTGATGTTTTTATACACCTGGCAGCCCTTGTAATCAGCAGGATGTCCTTCTAAGCATAAAGCACATACTGCAGGAGTAGTTTTCAATTTCTTGCACTCACCAGTCTTGTGTGACTCTCCGCATTCTTGGGATGTGTGGTGGCAGTATGTTTTGGTGTGTCCATATGCCTGGCAATAGTGGCACTGGACGATTTCTCTTTTAGTATATGGTTTTTCAACCTTCACACTTGTATAATATAATCTGTTGATTTCATATGCTTTTCATATGTTCCCTCCTGCTGAGGGTTCTAAATCGATAAAAAATAGAGGTAATGCTATCTTTCTATTATTTGCTCCAGAAACGTCTCTGTCGTCCTTCATAACATTGGTGACCTGTCGGACTTTCGGAACCTAGGGCCGTCAATTCTTCTTGGATCGCCTCGACTGAAGTAGAGGGATGTAAATTTCGGATTACTACCCTCAGGAAACGCTCTTGCCTCAATTGGTAGGTGTGAAAGTCTGCCTTTGTGTCTGATAAATATTTAATTATTTGGCGGTATGCATCAGCTGTGCCAGGGGATATTTTAATATCGTTAATGCAGCTTAAGCAGGAGTAGCTACCAGGAAGTGTGATTTTGTTTAACTGGGTGCATAGTAAAGAGATTTTTTTTAGATTTTTAACGAAAATTGTAGGGGGTCTGGGGTCTCTGGGAATGGGTGCAGATTCCATTACCTCATTTTGAAGTACCTCGTAAGGATTTGGGGTGAAAAAGGGAGATTCTTCCCTCATATCTTGAGATGTACCCGGTTGAGATTCAGTATTATCTGTTGCTATAGGTGGAGTAGCAGGTGGCGTCATTCTATTCGATCGAAGATTTTTTTTTTTCGCAGGTGAAGAACGTGGTGTAGATTCGACAGAGCGAGACCTCGTTGTTGCACCCTTAGAAGACATGAGTAGGTGATAAAATCTCATAGCATGTCAGAAGAAAGTGAGGGAAGAAAAAAAAATTAAAGAAAAAATGAAATAAGAAATAAAATTGAAACACGCTGCGTGCCCTTGATTTTGTATCACAGTCGCTATAGGACCTCCCTATCCAAGTGAAGGCTCTAGGCCAACTGATTACGTTGGGCTACGAGATAAGGACAGTCCTCTGTACACCAGCTTCACTTCGCACAACTGTACACAATAAATAACAACAGTACTCACTGTGGCATTAGTATATATTATGGTCCAGATGTTTAGTTAACATACAGTCACAATTTTATCAAAAAATAGCACCAATTTCCTAACAAAAAGTAAATATGTCTCAGAGACGAGGTGACGGTAGTATATCGTAACCTAGCGCATGCGCAGAACTGCTAGTAACAATAATAACTTTTTTTTATATCATATTACAAAATTCGTCAATGAGGATGAATTTTTCCTATATTTATTTAAATAGCTGTTTTTTGTAACTTTCCCCCACTATCCAGAGGCGCCCTCTGGCTGGATCACTGGAGTACTGGTCAGGATAATAACTTTTTTTTTTTAACATTAGAAAATTCGACTTCGAGGATGAATTTTTTCTATATTTCGCTTTTCTTTAAATAGGTGTTATTTGGATTTTTTTTTTCCACCAACCAAAGGAGGGCGCGCCCTCGGGCAGAATTTTCTACTGCTGGTCACGATAATTTTTTTTTTTGCATTATATTAGAAAATTTGTGTATGAGGATGAATTTTCTCTATATTTCTCTTTTCTTTATATAGGTGTTTTTTCCAGCATCCAAGGAAGGGCGAGGCCCCTAGCAAAATTCGCTAGTGGTGGTCAGGATAATAATTTTTTTTTTACATTAGGAAATTCGTATAAGAGGATGAATTTTCTCTATATTTCTCTTTTGTTTATATAGATGTTTTTTCCAGCATCCAAGGAAGGGCGAGCCCCCTAGCAAAATTCGCTAGTGCTGGTCAGGATAATAATTTTTTTTAATATTACATTAGGAAATTCATGGATGAAGATGAATTTTCTCTATATTCCTATTTCTTTATATAGATGTTTTTTGTCTCTTTTTCAGAATTTGTTTCCACTATCTAAGAGAAGGCACGCCCTCGGGCAGAATTCATTAGTGCTGGTCACGATCATTTTTTTTATATTACATTAGAAAATTCAACATCTATTAGGATGAATTTTCCCTATATTTCTCTTTCCTTTAAATAGGAGCTTTTTAAACATTTTTCCAGCTTTCAGGTGGGACCGCGCTAGTGTGTCCCGAAGTCAAAAAATGTGTCCTCACTCTTTCCTTCTGTAATCATTCATTGGCTGGACTAGTATTAGTACAAAAGGTCATATGTAATATTTTTACATGTTTATTCTCTTCGTGCTAAAGGTGACATTTCTTGTCTACAACAACTATAATTAGTATGCTGAATAGGGGAATAGCAGGATTTAATAAAATATTAAATTGTATCAATAAATCATAAAGAAATAATCGGTTTTTATGCTGTTATATAAAATAACTCAATTTTTACATCCGACCTTTTGCACTAACAGTAGCATAATGTTACTATAGATTAATCATCGATTGATAAAAATTGTTTCTTTTTTCCCATTTCAACCTTGGAATTATCCAAAACAGGGAATTTTTCACCAAAATAAAAATCCTATTACCAACACTTCTAATAATTTAATAGACTTTTACATTGGAGAAATCCAAAAAGTTATAATAAATCGATGCTTGACCATGTAGTTTTATAGTTGATAGTATTGTCATATACTACGCCTACAATATAATAATAATAAGCCTCAATTTCCAAAAATTCCGGAGCAATATCAGAGCCTTCCCACAGTGTGAGGGATATGGGATCTAGTGGAACAAAATCTGGAAGTCATTGGATTGATAATGCAATATTTTCTTTTAATCCAGACTACTCTGTAATTTAAAAACCATAGAATGAATTGTAAACGTTTCCTGTTGAAAACCACTATGTTCTTTTTTTTTTTTTTTTTAAACCCAAATAAAACATTTAATGAAATATCTCTTATGTTATACAGAGATCATCGACTTAATTTTCATATCCTGGTATTGTCATAATATCCATATCCAGTATCATTAAAAAATTAAGAATATTTATCAATTAATCTTCTGGCGTAGTGGCCTGTTTATTTATACATATACATCTAACCTGAAAATCTAAAAAAAAATACATTTTATTGGCCACGCTTTTGTATTCTGGCAGATTCATGGCAGCAGACATATTTTGTTAACTCTTCTTCAAAATACATATTTTTTTTTAGCTCTTCTTCAAAATACATATTTTTTTTAGTTCTTCTTCAAAATACATATTTCTTTAGCTCTGCTTCAAAATACATATTTTTTTAGTTCTTCTTCAAAATACATATTTTTTTTAGCTCTTCTTCAAAATACATAATTTTTTAAATAGCTTAAACTTAGTGTAAAATAAATCATTTTGCTATTGGTTTATTCTAGACTCTATGGCTCTGTTGTATAAATACGTTATTTATTAATAAAAATTATATACATTGAGTATTAAGTTAAACATTATATTAAAGCCTTTCTCAATATTTCCAGAACTTACTGGTCTTGCATGAAAAAGGCTCAAAACACAATGATTGTCACTTATGTAATTTTGTGGAAGATGAATATATTCAGGAACAATACACAGCATTAAAAGATTTATATACTCTACTCACAAAAATAAAGCGATTGAAAGATACAATAGGTATTCAAATCATCGATGAGCACTTATACAATAAATTCAAAAATAAAAAGATTTAAGAATACTTTTCTTTAAAAATTTTAATGATAATCTGATCTTAGAAAGTAATTTGTCATCAAATTAAATCATGAACCCATTAGTTCATTTTTTTGTAAACATTTAAAAATTTAATAATAATGAATAAATTTATTTATTAATGGTATAATTACAGAAAACTTAGAACTAAACTAACTATTGAGAAGTTACTTCTGAGTACCATTTTTTATAAATTGTAGTGCATATACAGCTAGTAAATGTAATCACATAATAAGAAAAAGTTACTATTAAAAGCATAATTATTTCTGTAATTACCTTTATTGTTATTTTTTTTTTTTCAAAAAGGAGTATGGAGTGGGGGGAAGCATTTTACTTAGGGCATTTGTGGGGATACTTAGGAGATGAGGTACTTTTTTGGTCAGAAGTTTCCTTAAAATTAATAATATAAATGGTCTGATTAAAAGATTATCATCATTTTTAATCTAGACAAATGAGTAACCTACGTTAGTGACGTTGAAGAATGAGGAAAAAAGCATGGGAACCCAACCCAAGTCCAAGATCAGTCTGAAGATGAACATGCACAAAACATCTTTTGGTGAACTTGTTCAAGACTGTACATAGGAAGAAACCTTTGTTAATCTGTATGAATAAGTAAAATGCTTTTGTGTGGGCAATTGATTTGTGTGTAATTTAATAAAGAAAAAATAAGTGAAATAATTAAGTTTATTATAAACATTATTGACAACAACAATAAGACTATTTAGTAACCAATAAACTAGATTTAATAAGACAAAATTTACAAAAACAGATAAATAATACATGTTATATTACAAAAAAAATATTTACATGCATTATTCAAATGAACAATATGATTAATGAACTAAACTTAGTCCATTAGTTGTATAAGACTATATGAACTAAGATTCATTAAAATAAAGAATATTTAAATAGTTAAACAAACAATGTAAATATGTATACAAAATAACTGCCAGTTAACTCTCTCTAAGAATCAAAAGTTAAAAAACATAACAATTTATATATTGTATAACAAAGAGTTAGGATTTGGATTAAGCCTACCCAAATATTATATTATTAAAATATAATATTGTTGTAAAGTAGAGTCACAGGTAAAAGTTAGCTCTGTAATAAAATTTACTCAGAACTATTTTAATAAAAAGCTAACCTAAAAAAATAAACATATTTTTATTCTTGTAATAATTGTATTCCAGAGAAGGTAAATTAAAAACTACACAAACTCTAAACTAAGGTCATTTATCGTATCTTATCAGCTGAATCTTAGTTTAGTTTAATTTCCTTTACGCGTTCAATAAAATTGAATAGTCAGTTAAAAATAACTAAAAAGCAAACAATAGTTTAGTTTGAATGATAAACAGTCAGTTTTTTTATTATCGGTGCTGAAGCTTCGACCCAAGTTTGTTTGTTATCATCAATCAAGAACTCCCTAAAATCTTTATACAACATACCTGACCTGAAGTCAAATCACAAATGACAGTGCCCATAATAACAAATATGACTGAAAAGTCGGACTATTGTCAAAGATAATGATAAAAATTGATCAACTATAACTCGTCTCTAAAAGTTTATTTTAAAACATATTGCACATTTTTAAAATAAAAAAATTATACAACTTGAAAATAAGTCCTATGGAAGTCAAATCACTTCTAAATTTTTATTACTCTCTATAAATATTCAGCCTATATATGTTTTTGTTTTAAATGTTAAATAATATATTTTTAATATGATGTTAGGGTTCAGATTTTCTCCCAAATTTTATTTTTCTCCCAGATCTCTGTTACAAGGGTTGATCTGTATTTATAAGTGACGTTTTTATGAAAAATAATTGAAGCGATCGGCAGGGTTTTTTTTTTTGTTTTAAACGTCAATTTTAAGACTAAAAAAATTTAATTTATCATTTATAAATATTCCTATGACAGAGATCCAGAAAAATACAGTTTCATAAATACTTTACTTGAAAAACATTTTAAAAACCATTATTATTTTTTTTTACTTTCACTTACCTATGTATAAAATATATAGTAAGGGACAGTATTGAGATCGTTAAAATTTTCGAATTTTCAACGGAAATACATGTTTTGAGATCTCTTGAGTTCAAATAACAAAGTCCTGCAAAATGGTCGTATGTATGTGACAGGTCTAGCTTAAACGAACAGTCGTATGAAAGTGAAATTGTATATTTACGGTTTGTATATACCTGAGATATTACAGCAGCTTTTTCATCAAAATCGCTTAACCGGAAGTAGCATTTCATATCATCGATGAAACACATTTTTACTATTTTCTCGAAAACAGCCCCAACGATTTTGATTAAATTCATTATATCAGTGTAAAAGTAAGTAGTTTTTAATATTAAGTAGATTTTATTCTCAATGATGTTCTCTAACAGAGCTTAAATGGCTAATTTTCAATATTAGCTTTCTCTAAAGTCCCTTTAATTTTTTTTATTTGAAACAATTAACCATTTCACATTGACCTCTAATATAAAAAATATGTAATATGAAAGAATTTGATAATTAATGAAATGAGAAAAGAGAGATTATAACAGAATATTAGTCGTAAAGAAGGAAAAAAGGGATACGAGAGCGCGCCCGAAGATTAGAGCAGGCTTCTAAAGTAACATGAGCTTATATTACGTACAAATACATATGCGGTTTTCCTAAATGTTTTAGTTGGTATTATTTAATATTTAATTGTATAGATTACAGCGATATAAATATCAAAATTTGTATATATAAGGATAATTAAACGAACACAAATATCCACAATGAAATATAAATCAATTTAGCGTTTACAATTTTTACTTGCACTTCTCCTTTGTCTGAAAATACTTATTTCTACTAAGAAGGCTGTGATAAGTGAAAGTTGTGTGATGCAAACCAGATTTTTTATTTAGAAATAAAAAGTGTATTTAGGCAATTATATTTGTTAAAATAAATCCCAGATCACAAAAAAACAATAAATTTAAGCTTTGAAACAGTTTATTATTTGCCGAAAACAAGGTGACTGGATAGTCATTATAGTAGTCATTCTGGTTGAATGACTAGATGAAAAACCACATTTCTTTACACAATCTCAAGAATTTGTCTAATAAACATGAATTTAATTAATATAAACTTAAAGGTTATTAAACGAAAAAGTTTTTCAAAAAGTGGGGTATCTGCAGTATAGTTGGATAATAACAACAAAAAAAATTGCCAATAATTTTTTTTTTTTAAACAGAACTTAGCCAAGTTTCGTCACTCAAATATCCTCTTTAAATGGTTTTAACTATGACAAATTTTATTTTTATTTGAAGAAAATTTTATCTAATTTACAGTGAAATAATTGTTAATTACTTAAATTAAATATTTCTTCAGTTATCGTTATTCATCAAAAAAGATGACTTGATTAAAAAAACACTGAACTTTGATTTCCTACTTTTCTGCTGAGAATTGGCCCATTACTATTATGAACTATTTTGTATGCCTTCTAGGTCTGTTATCACTCCTATAAACATTTCCCCTCTACTCTCCACCCTGTATATATATAGGACATCAGAAAATCCTATTGGATGAAATCTATATTTGAATGAAATATATATATATATATATATATATATATATATGGAGTTTATTCTTTTTATTTATAGAATGGAATCCTCTTCAGAGCTGGAAAAAACAAACAGCCATCATTGGCAAAAAAATTCAAGTCCCTCTATGTCATAAACAATTTTTAATTTTTTTTTTCACCTTCTTATCAAGCTTCGATACTCCAAGCCAGGGGCACACCGACAGCCTCAGTACCGCCCTCCAGTACGTGTATCAAGCCACTGGGCAACCACGCACACCACACCTCCTCCCCGGAGAACAAAGCCCAACACAGACCAAACAATAGAAATATACATACCTAGCCAAAAAAAATCAATGACCATAATATGTACATGTTTGCTATAATGAAATTATTTAAATTCTAACACTATTTAAACAATAATATTATTTACATTGTAACCTTATCAACAACAAATTAATATACATTAATGAGACAACCTTAAATTTCGAAAACTATATGACTATATATACATATATATATATATATATATATATATATATATATATATATATATATATATATATATATATATATATATATATTAATTTGTTGTTATTTAGTCATAGTTTTGGAAATTTAAGGTTGGCTCATTAATATCTATGCATTTGTTGTTTATAAGGTTACAATATAAATAATGTTATTGTTTAAATAGTGTTAGAATTTTAATAATTTAATTATAGCAAATATGTACATATTATGATAATTGATGTTTTGTTGGCTATGGATGAATATTTCTATTTATGTAGTTATACTCCAAATTTGTGTAGTTTATTAAAATTTTGAATTTGAGTTTATTAGCTAATATAAATTATTATTGTTATTATGCAAATAACCATGTTTAATAAACTGAGATTGAATTTTTTTGCAGCATAAGATCTTGAAGTATGCAATAAAAATATTAAAATTTGCAATTTATTCAAATATTATGGAATAAAAAATCATTCTTTTCAAAAGAAATCATGCTGACCAATCTTTTGTCACAGTGATACCCAATCCAAGGCTCGGAATTTCAAACGAGGAGCCAGCAGGTTTTCAAATTCTTTATTCTTAATGTTGATTTTTTTTTTTTTAAATATATCAAAGATATTTTTTTTTTAATATTTAATCTTACTGGGAGGAAAGATCATTTTAGACTCGGCATGTTTGATGCATGTAATAAAATTATAGTATAAGTAAGAGGTGAGGGGAACAGTTGTGGCAAGACACAATTTAGGGGGAACCGTTGGTTGTGACATGGGCAATGCAAATGTTGGGCATCTCTGCTCTATCCTGTCAATTTCATGTTATTTGGTGCTTAAATTATTTACTATACCATAACAATAATAATGTTATTAAAATCAATACTTATTTATAACATTTATTTCTATGATCTCTTTAGAAAAATCAATACAAACAA